TTGTATATGTAATAAATCACAATTTTATTCATTCTGGGTTTATCCTTTACTTCAATTTGAACAGCAGACAATGGATTGTCAGCAGCTTGAATGTTGATGTCATGATGCAGGAACAAATGTAGAGAATTTATCAAAACAATACATTTCAGCCCAATACACCACAACGGATTGTTGGCAAGAATGTACTACTACTTATTAGCGGATATCTAGTGTCTAGTGACAATAATGAAGGGTACTGAACCAGCGACCGCAACTTCTATAGCTCTTGTTGTTGTCTATAGCTGCTTGTTTTTGTCAACTTTCAAAAACAGGGTTTCAACGAGAATGTTTGTAGAAATCATTCATTTACTTTTGGATACTGAAGTATACATTTTATATAATTTATACAGGCTAAAACCAATTTTTTATCCAAATTGACCCTATCGGAATGAGCCTCTAATGTAGTGTAATATTGTAAAAATTATATTTGCTCCCCTTGTGTTATCGTGATACAGTTGGTGTGACAAAAGATGTTGTGGTTATGTTTGCCTGGATTGGTTTAAAAGTTAGCTTATTGAACAGGATCAAAAGTACACTCTGTAGTAGACTCAGTTCAACTACGTTCATAACTAAAAAAATGGATACAGATTTAACGTGGGAAAGAGGTATCGAAAGTGGAAATGTCAAGTTGGCTCAGCTGGTAATGTGTGGTTCGTGTATTGGCATCACTGCACCTGATTGTTATCAATGGTCGTTATCTATATTGGCTACCGAGGAAAGTGCGATGGACTATGTCACGTGACCATGATCAGCTGATGGGATGTTGAAGACTCTGGTACTTGGTGTGAACGCACGGATGCACTTAGTTCTCTCGTAGATTATGTTTTATCTATGGTTCTATATAGTGTTGTCTTCTATAGGCTTCGAGAGTAACCTCTTTAAAACTTTTGAGTTCTGTAATATTCAAGTTCTCCAATTCGCTGAGTTCAGTCAGAAAGCCACAGGTTGTAGTATTATTTGTTATCTATGTTTGAGGAATAATAATTAGCCTACAGATTGTTTTGTGTGTTAGTTGCTTGTATGTTGAATCGGCCGTGGCGGGAATCGGAATGTGTTCCAGGTTTGCAAACAATCAAGAAAAGAATACATAGAATTCTAGTTTAAAATAAATTAAGGGACGAAATATATTAAGTAAATTAATGAATACTGTATTAACTATAGTTTCGTTGGTGTGAAATTAATATAATGACAGAACCATGACAGCTACTGTAAAAATAAATGAGGACAGCGAAAGGAACGATGATTTAGATAATATGATGAGAAGTATTATATCTATTGTATATCATACAATATGCAATTTTAGTGGTTTTATGTTCGATGTTTGAAATGTTTGAACCATATTCTAATCAAATTACTGTATTTACAGTTATTTTATTATATTATTATTATTATTATTATTATTATTATTATTTATATTATTTTTTCTAGTCTGCTACTCAGATCTCTTGATTAGCGCTGTTTTGACGTGAGTGTAACACGTTCTGCGGAATATACTTAACACTTTCTTATATTTAGGCCTACTTCACACACTAGAAAATGTCATACACGGTCACATACTGATGAGTTTACCTCAACATGATGTCTACTTTTTAATTTGCAACTGATATGTACTACGGTGCAATTAATTATAAAATTGGTTTAAAGATTGGCAATAAGTTGACAACTCGTTTAACCACGTTCTGTAAAATCATTTATTATATTAAGCATGCTTTTTTTATTTTTAGTTAATCACACCTCAATCTTAGGTCAAAGAACGGGTTTTCAAAATTAGGTTCTAAATAAACAATATAGTGTACATGAAAAGGACTTACAATTATGAATAAATGAAAATATTACGTAATATGCCTTTTCCCTGGACGATAGTATTATTCCTGTAGCATGAAACGTCGGCGTTATGTTTCCATTTTGTGAAATGGGTCGTGGAAAGAATGATAAAATGCAAATGCAAACTCATTTCCACAGTTGTGGATGAAAGCTATGCAAACCTAGTTAGACCTCATCGCTATCTCTTTTTCTAACTCTCTTCCTTTCCGCCATATTTACATTTTAAATGTTCAACTCATGCAATAATACTTTTAAAATTAGTTTTCAAATATTGTTAGTTTTTTTCCAAATTCAGTGACTAAATCACGTTTTAGTGCATAGAAGGCAATAAAATAAAGTAGAATTTAATAAAGCACATTTTAGCTGCAAAGCAGCTGGTACTACAATATTGATAGATCTTTAAGTATATTCTAAAATCAACTGTATTGCCATAGAATAATTAAATGTGCTAAATATTTAGGTTTGCAAAATATTTGACAGTTTCCTTCATAAACTGCGTGGCCAATTATTAATAATTTAAACCCGTTTAAAAGAAGTAAATTTGTACAGTTAGTTTGTCATATTGTAAACCAATTGACTTTTTAATTTCCGAAGCCTCACCTTAGAACTATGGAGGAAGGCCTGTCAAACTTTTAACACGGGATTATGCCTTTAGTAATTCTGGATACGTAGATTATACTTGTGCAAAATGTAATCAAATTTTGTTTGGTGGCTTTAAATCATGGAAAACAGATAAGCAACTACATTTCCATAACTAAAACTATAGCAAATTGTTTATACAATGTTGAAAATATAATAATACTGCTATGTTCTATTGTTTACACCAAAGCCCATTTCCAGTTATGCTTAGATTTATACGACTTTTGATGCGGATTACTTGATTAGTGAGAATGGTTTGTCGGTCAAGCAAGATAATCATACCGGGATCAGGCTGTTAGCTGAGGAAGAGGCGGTCCTGTAAACCCAAGATTGTGTAAATTGGAGGAAGTAACTTTCTAACAATACAGAGATAGGAGCAGCGGTGACACCAGCTCTGGCCCAGTGAAATGGGTCGATAACCAACAAACTGTGCCATTCCTGCTGCAGGCGGGTTAACTTTGCATGTTTAATAATAATAATTGTAATAGCATTTTGTCTCTTAATACAAAAGCCGTGTATTAAGTTGAAGTATCAGTAAACGTAACCGAGAAATTCGGACATTAGACATCAGACATTTATTGGTCAATTTTACTGTGTACAAGCATAGTCAGGTCATTTAATTCGTTAAATACATCTTGTATTCAGTCTGTTTTGGAAATGGGTATGGCTAAGTCCCTAAAATGTACAACATTTATTTGTGTGCAAGTGTTTTAACTCACTGTATAAAGTCGAACAAACTTGTGTTAATTAAGGAACTGGTTTGTTATTTGTAAATAGGCCGACATCGTACAATAACATTAATTAATTGGTCTTAGGCTAAATAACATGTATAAAATAAACCATACATTTTCCCAGTATTTGTGTAAAATTCCCTTAAATTACATTCACGTCTTCACGAAGCTCAGACCTAGAGGCAAGACTGCTGTGCTTCTTCATCTTATCTTAGGAATCCCATAAGCAAAAAAATACAATGTTATTGAACTCCTCTTTGGATGTGTTTAACGAAGTGGCAAATACATCTTGTTCAATACTCTTCGCATTTACAATATCTTTTTTTTTAATGACACATATATCGATGTTATTGGTGTTCTTTGAGTATTCCAGTTGCACAGCCTGCATATTATAGTGGTAGGCCTGTTTCCTACCCTGCAGTTCCGCCAGTTAACCACGACTCCGTTACTTCGTTATGCTATGAGTTGGGTTGGGTTACTCGTGTTTAATGTTTGAGGCGGAACTATAATGATGATTGGTGCCGACAATCGACATCCCGGTACTTACTCGGAACTCTTCATTACCGGGAACTACTTTGATTTATTGTTCTACACTCCTACAAGAGCAATTGCTCCTGTCGCAGCATATTATATGAATAAGAATATCTTTATTGTCATAAAATACAAACAAAAGTACAATAGACAACGTCAAAACAAATACAATTTTTCTATGGATTAGGTATATTGTGTTCATAGAAAATAAGTTACAACATGAATTGAAAAGAGAAAAAAACAATAAACTATACATTAGGTATTTGGTATCCTAAAAATTCTTTTACTGAAAAGAAAACTTGTTGAGAAGCCAAACAGCCAATTTATTTTCAAATTTATTAAAGCTAAGCTCTTGAAACGATACAGGTAGCTTATTAAGAGCTGTATTTGGAGGAATTTGTTTGCTATTAGTTGATTTTGATAATCTTACTATCGGAATATCTAGCTGGTTACTTGTTCTAGTATTATAACTGTGAAATTCATTACGTTTTTGGAATGATGACAGATTTTCTTTAACAAATAGCAAATTTTGAATACAAATATACATGGTAGATTCATTATTCTGTGTTTGATAAAGAATTGAAATACATATTTCAAAAATTTTTCGATTTAGTGTGTATTTACACCATTGAATTTTTTTTCCGTTTTGTAAGGAATTTTTCCACACCTGGGCCTTGTTAGAAAACATCTACCTTCAGTTAGAAAGCATTATTAATTGATAGTCTTATTAGTAATTACTTATAGCATCTGGCTACAAAATCAACCCCATTTAAGATCGTACTAGCAACTTTTCAGAAGGCGAGCACTGTTGTGTGTTACCCACTTACTTATTGGATTCATAAACAATTTATTTTTTAATCACTTGCGTTAAGTGCTTCAGCGAAAAAAATGAAATAATAATCTTGCTATTTTGGGGAATATCTTCATCAAGAACAGTGCGTTTTTTTCTAAGATTTATTGTGGTATTTGTATACCAAGATCTACTGGTAGGCTAGTCTCGGTTTTAATACTTCATTTGATAAAATACCTAAATATTCTTATTAACACATCAATATTGTTACTAATGAAGTTCCTTAAAACAAAGTTAAAACTTATTTACCTGTGTTTCTGCAGTGCATAATAATTATATTGTATTTATTCATTAATTTACATAATATGATCATATACTTTATTTTCATAGCATGTTGCCTCCTTAAATTACGATTTTACAAAACTAATAAATTTATTTTTTTTCAGATACGGACAGAAAAGGACAGAATGTATGAGTGGAAGGACAGATTGGAGCGGGAGAAAAATGAAGCTTACCGTCAGGTAGTATATTATTTAGGGATTGCAATATTTACTTACAAATATGATTTCATGATGTTTATTGTTAGCTTGGCTCAAGATTTTATTATTATAGGTATTATAAACCTGTTTTTAAACTCTATTTAATCTTGTTATTGCTCAATAATTGCACAAACCTGTGATATTCTAAGGAACTCAACTAGTATTTATTGGGCAGTTTACATTTATTTATCAAGAGATTTGACTACTTAATTACAACACCATCAATGAATGATTATACTTAAATGCTGTGAACATATTTTTAATTCAACGATTAAAAATGCATCGGTCCCTTTTAGGGTCTCTATACATTAAAATTTATACCATGTAGTCAATGCTTGACTAGTGAAAATCTATGTCTACACTCGAGTGTTTTTGTGTACGCCAAGCGCATGCCTGCACGCAGATGGACACAAGTAACCCATGCGTCAAGTGTAGTGGGGTCTTGGTCAAGCCATGCCCAAAATGAGTCCAAAGGAGCTCCATTTCATAGCGCGCAGCGTAGCACAAGACGATCCACCAGCCTTGGATTTCTGTGCGTTTCAAATTGCAACTGCTTTACATTTTTTACAAGTCGTCCCTGTTGTAGTTGTTTGAAGCAACATGAATATCCAACAAACATCAGAATTCATAGAAGATTATCACTTGCATGTATGTTTGTGGGACATACTAGGTAGTAAATCAAGAAATAAATAAATATGAATTAAATAAATAAAATAAAGTAAGAAAATTACGCGCTTTATAGTACTCCTTCTTCCATATTCTACGCATCGAATATTCTTACATTTGTGAAATTTTATAAACACTATATATACCGCACCAATTCCTCCTATCAGAATAGGGTCGTCTTCATCCAACTAAAAAAAATTCTAAACCGTGAGGCATGAGTGTCGATAGCTAAAAGGCATGCCTCAAAGCGCTTGCAATACCGCATTTGTTGATGCATATTGAATTAAAGTTGAAAGGTACGTCGAAATTGAAAGCGCACAAGTGTGGACATAGCTAAAGAGTTGATTGGTTGTTTGTATGGGTTATGTTGATTTATAAACTATCTAATGTTTACTACTGGTGATGAAGCATATAAAATTGAAGTTTGATGGAAATACATTATCCAGTATATTCTACTAATAGTCATGATATTTTAGACTTAAAGGGTAAAGTCTGAAGTACTACTTTACTTGAGCAGGAAATGTAATTTTACATGAATACTGGAGTAAACTAATTAAATTATCTAGTTAACTTGTTCACTAATTAAAGACTGTTTGTGTGTTCCCAGTTGAAGATGCAGGCAGAGGAGTCGGAGCACACAAGGCGCAGGTTGGAGCGAGCTCGCAACGATGTTGTGCGACAAGTGACGGCCATAGTGGCTGAGAAAGACTCTCTGGAACGAGAGGTGAGACGTTAAAGAAATATATAACGTACCTTAGACTTCAAATTATTAGGCTCAGAAATTTTGGTTCTTAATTTTAAAATATTTGAGTTTAATTGTACGTGTTGTCTAGGCTTGGCTTCTAGTTCTATCAAGGATGTGTTTGAGTTACGTAAACATACTTTAGTCACCTGGTGCTTCAGAGCCAATCGTATGATGTTGGTCTAAAGAAGAAACATAAAACCTTAGGTTTTTTTACATTTGGAGAACTTTTTTGTATTGGAAAACTCTATGCACACATTAGCATGTCAAATAATAGTGAACAATTAAAATCATTTGTGTTCTTAGTACATTTTAAACAGTATCATTTTATTTTTTATAAGTACTGTATCCTGTATTGCATAAAGAAAAGATAAATCCTCTGTATAAATTATAAGATGGATTACAGAGTGTTAAATAGTTAGCTGTTTACAGATTAGTTATTTATTAACCTTTCAAGCACTTATATTTATTGTTTATTTCTAGATAAAAATTTAGATTTTCAAATACAAATTAGGATTGTGCCTTACAGGTAAGCTATTGGGTTTTAATTTATTTTGTGATTTTTTCAGAATCTAAGACTAAAGGAAGCGCTGGAAGACATTGAAAGGAAGAGTCACAGAAGCGGCAGAAGTACACACAGTGTCCATGGCTTGGAGAAAGAGGTCGGTCTTTTATTAGGTACTCATTCTAATTAGGTTAATTTATGTCCTCATAAATTCATTACTGTAAGTTAGCTTCTTCTACCAAACAATATCTTCTTCAATACCATAAGTGTATGTATCAGCTAGTAATACAACTAGAGATAGCACTGCCACAGCAACTCTACTACAAAAACTGAGACGGTGTAAAATGTTGTCATGATGGTACCAACTAGAGGAACCAACCGGCCCATTGGCTCATGGCTTTATTACAATCCCACAATCTCCTATTCCCCTTGTTCCAATTTACTCAGCAAAATGACCTTCATGCCTTAGTGTACAGAGGGTGGCCAACATCTTGCAATGCTCTCATTCAGTGCTACCTGCTGTTGAGTCTCTAGCTTAGTGGCATGTATTCATACCCAGGTAAAATTACTAAATAATTTGTTTGGGTTTTAAAACTTTGTCTTTGCTTAAGGCCAGGGTAAAAGCCTTTAAATGGGATTAGGTACTTACTAGTAGCTCAGAGACCACCATCAACAATGGACAGTGGACAGATCGAGTGGGAAATACTTCAGTTCTTGCCCTTGGGGTGTGTGCCCTTAAAGATGATTTTTTAAGCAATTGAGTTTTATGTTCATAAGATGAGGGAAAAATTACATAAATAGCCTATTGAATAATAGCTTGGGCTCAGATAAAGTTGCCTGTTTGATCCCGAGAAAAGTTAGAAGCTTTAGATGATTTGAAATTAGATCCAGCTGTCCCTGGTCATTGGGAATAATAAATGATCCTGGGTGATGAACTAGCTGATCTTGGTGAAATAATAACTTCACTATAATTTGTTACTCACCTCATGTGTTTTTGCAGGTATATGACCTGAAGCAGGTAGCCAAGCAAAGTGCCACACTCAATAGTCAGCTGAAGAAGGGTATGAAGCACCTAGCCACCTGCAGACGACGCAAGTGTTCTGTGTGCGCTTACACTCGTGCCACCTTCGGCGAGTACGCCAACAACGAGTGAGTACCCCACAGTTAGTTGGCTACACCCATGTAACAAGTGATAACTGTATATTATCAAAATATAATTACAAAAATTGCATTACGTCCCTGAATAAAAAACATCACTCATATATTTCAATTCAAAGTCACACACACACAAAGTACACTTAATTAGATAATCTGACAACTCTTCTCAAGTTCTTGGTTAGCAGGGTTATTGTTTCTTAGTTAGAACTACATCAACTAATATCATTTGCAAAGACTTAGCAACACGTGGTACGCACCACCCTTCAAGTCTAATGTATATTTCCAAAACCACCATTGATTTTTTTATTTTTAGTGAACTTACTTTGCTGGCTCATTTTAAAGGAATATTTTTGAAGTACAGTGGATAAAGAAATATAGTGAATATCACATTTTATCTGGGTTTTTTAAGGATATATCAGCGTTTATATTACTGCTCTGTTTCATTAAATAGCTATTAGATACAATAGCTTTAGGTGATATAACTGAAATGTCTCAGAAGTTTAATTGATTATGATATTTCCAACGAGTCTCAAAACTCAAGTTGCATATCTGATGTAAGCCTCTAGAGGTCAAACCTGAGGGCTTGTGTATGTTTGGCACAAATTTACTAATTGACTTTAAATCAGTCTTCAACTAGGTAAAATTCATAAACTCTGTTTAAACTATTTCTTGTTGTGGCAGGAGCGGGGGTAAGAAGCTGTTCTCTTGTTTTGTGGACACTCGCAAGCGGTCACGGTCAGCGCAGGGCAGACACAGCTCTACGTGGTCCGACACGGATGGTCTAGCAGACAGACTCTCAGAGATATCTGTGGCTCCCCCCTCCCCCTCAGAGTACTGTCCCTCCCCCCTGCCTCTCAAACACATCTCCTATATAGATGAGGGCTCGGACAGCAGCAGCGAGGACGAGAGAGGTGGGTCACATGTTTACTTACCGAGTACAAATATTATTTGTTTTATATAGGAAGGCCAAGTTAAAAGGTCTTATTGTATTGGAAAGTGATAGGATTTAGTTATCGTACGTTATTTAGTACTATAGTTACCGTTATTGTAATAATAATGAGGGGACTCATGCGCAAATTGCACTCCAGGGTCCAAAACTTGTTTCCGATGAAAAATGAAACAGTGCAATACCCATTTACCTTTTCAAGCATTTGTTTAGAACAGCTATCAAGTGAAAAGATATACTAATTTAAATTTTTTTTTTTATTTGTTGTTTTTATATACGCTAAAAGAGTGATTCACCTACCTCAATCAGGTCACAGTTGTCATAAAAGTATCCTATTAAAAAAAACCATTTTAATTAAAGGGTTTGTCTCTTGTTTACAATTTGATTGTGGTTAAATATTCAACTAAAGGAACAGCTGTTAAATTACATCATATTCAAATGGATATAAAGAACTGGTTAGCATAACTGGACCTTTGAAATTAGACTGAAGGTACAAATCAAATGTGAGGGGGTGAATTACTGAATTCCTAGAGAAAATTACCTTAATTACCAGGTGCGCTAGATCATAAGCTTTAAAATGACACCTCAATCGTAAAAATTTGCTATGTAGGACGGCTGGAAAAGGGATGTAACAGGGAAACCTCTTATTGTTACCAACAGGCATTTTGTTACTTTTTACTTATCTTTGCTGTTTGTGTGTGCGTCTTCACAAAACAATTGTCTATAAAAAATTTTGATTTCCGTGTCCGCAACCAGAATGAAACCATGATCAATAGACACTTAATTAATAAAAAATCCTTGGGGTACAAATGGTAAGAGGCAATTTTGTATATGCTGTAACCCACCCAACTGTGAATGCTGTAAATTTTGTTAATCGTTAATTGGTTGAGACCTAAATTTAGCAGTTAACCATTAAAAATTAAAATAGGCTGATTCTGATTTGTTTTAAAAACTTTCAATCCCGGTTGTATTAAGGAATCTGGGATTCTCAGTGTGACTTTAAATTCAACACCAATTTAAGATCCTCCCACCATAGCGGTGACATCGCTAACATCCAATCACCCAAATTTACAGTTGGCTCCCACTAACACTTAAATCCCAAGACTAAAAAAATGTCCAACATAAAAAAAAACAATAACATTTCAAAATTTTCAGGTCTTACTCATAGCCTCTCTTATACATTTAACAAAAAATGTGCTAGTACTAACCTTGAGTTTCATTTTCAAGAGTGAGTGGGAACTCTGCATATGCCTCAAGAAGTGATACTATACTATATGCTAGTAGCATTGTTAGAATGATGTGTTTTCCAGAGGAGGACAGAGGCTATGTCCAGACGGATGCCAGCACCACGTCGTCTGCTCCTCACGCCTTCTCCTCGGACAGTGGGTTCAGCTCAGACACACCAGCCTCTCAGCGACCGTCACTACATCGTGCCACCAGGTGGACGTCGTCCTTCCGCCGCCTGATCCGTCGAGTGTCCAAACGCCAGCTGAACAATACAACCTAGGTGGATCTTGCCGATCACTCTGTATGTACGGGATGTAAATGGTGAATGTGAACACTACTTGTCATGTAACAGCTGATCACAAAACTGTCATTGGTTGTTACATACGAATATGGTTGTGTTGTGTAATGAATGATTTTTACTGCTGACCTCATAAAGACCTTCTAATTTGAATTAATCTATTTTTCTGTAAACAATAATTGTAATTTTGGTTAAAAACACTGGTCTGCCATATCCAATCATAGATTAATATATCTTTCCTTAACAGTTAAATTTTGACGTTTTAGTAATCGATATGCATTTAAATGCCAATAAGATCAATATTTTGTATAGTCCATACATAAAACTTGTGGAGAGATTTTAAATTGGTACAGTTTGTCCTAATCTCTTGCTTATATTAATTGGATTTTTTGTACACACAACCGGTTAACTTTTATACTTGACATAGAGTAATTAAAAATGTATCCCGTTAAAAAACCATTGAAAAATGTTAATTCTTGCTCAACTGAAAAAAAGACCAATATAACAAGTTCTTTTGTACATGAAGCAGTTTAATCATTAGTAATAATTTTATTACAAGATGGGTGAGTAGTTCTAAGAATCGCTTTTTGGCAATGAAGCAGAGGGCGTTGTTCCCAGAGTTAGGCACCCTACAGTGGCAAGTAATTTATCAAGGAATAAGAGAAGACAGACCTTTGACTCCTTCCACATATGTTGTGTATAGACTACTATTATTTTAAGATTACTAATTTTTGACCTTGACTTTGTACTAATGTTATACATTTTATTTGTGAACCAGTTTATCTAAGATTGAAATATCGTTGAAAGGAAAGGATTTTCTCTCGTTTAGAAGCTTGATGGGGTCAGCACGTTCCTCGCGATAGATTTGCGCTCTTGTCCTAGTTTGTACTGTAATTGTTCTATTGGTTGTGCCTATAATTTTGGTGTATATAATCTAATGTTAAGTATTAATTTGCATTTATTATTTGGGCGAGTTACAGGATTTATTCGATACAGTATTTTTGATAGAGCATATCAAAGTGGGGTGTGGCACCTCATCACTATTCATTGGCTGTCTTCTGTTAATGGAATATTATATGGAATTTGTTATGTTTCAAGTGATTTAATGTAGTTCACATAGGTCATGCAGTATTGTTTTGTGCAATCGATTCATCAAAATAATTTTGATTTTGCAATAATGTTGAGACTGAGCATATAGCAAAACATATTACAAAAGTATACTGCCTAAAGGTTCTTTATCAATTTTATTATTTTAAAAATACTTTGTTTTATTTTTTTTATTTTATATGTTCTTTGTTTATTTTTGTAGTTGTTTTAGTTATTACATCTTGTGTGCTACAAGTGGATTGTCTATAAAAATAAATCTTCAATTGAAGGTTTTTGTAAACCGGTTTTTAGTGGGTTTCCCATTTTATTAATAGGGTAATTTCAATAATTGTACCTATTGGTGTGCACGTTTAAGTCCATTTAACTTTTCCATCGGGGGTTTTGAGGGTCTGTGGGTATGGAGTACTTCCAGTAAAGAGGAGGGTTGGGGGGTGGGGGGCTTCCCCTGGAAAATAGTTAAAATTTAGGAACTAAATGTTTGATTTTACACATTTCTTACTTACACTTCTCAGTCAAATGCGAGAATTATTAACTTTTATGTTTTTACTGCACGATCCAACAAATATGTGTTTAACTTGGGTGTGAACCACATATTTGAAGGGCCCAGGGGCTCGAGCCACCCCTAGCCTATATTGACACCCATTATGTAAATGTTAGTCTTACTACTTTGATGCTCCCTTGATGTTTATCTAATTTAAATGTACTAAACCAATAAACTTAAATCCTTAAAATGGCCTACTACCAAAAAGAAACCTTAGGATTGGAAAATAGCTTTGATTTCCAAGTTTAAAAATATTAATTGAAGATGCCAATGAATAGGATATTTTAATGGTAAAAGACAGGGTACTTCAATTTAATTAGTATTGTATGCTGTCCCACAATAATTGCAATTCATGTTTTGACAATTTCTATGTTTGAAGCAGGCTGTGGCAACCTATCTGGTAACGTAATGAGATGAAATATATTTAAACTATTTCCAGTATATTTTCAAGTATTCTGAACTATTAGTAAATCTAATGCATGAACTGTAGGATAGAAGAATACTATCCTAGTAAATAATTTTAAAACAATAAATGTGGCATACTTTATGTTTATGGGAGTAAATGTAACAATAGTTTAGTTTTAGAGTTACTGTACTTAACTGCAATGTTTCAATATCATAGAAAATTTTAAATACTTAGATAATAGTTTAGTCTGCACAAAGTATTAACTAAATTAATTGCAGAGATAAATTTGTAAGAATTAAAAAGAGGTGTTTACCATACTCAAATTCTATAAACATAGATTTCTTATAGTAGTTATGATTATCCTATTAAAAGTTTATAATATATCTAATGTTCACTATATTCAGTTCAATCTTGCTAATTTAGGTGACATTCCTGGGAGTGGTTAGTTATTGATGTGAGTTTACCGTTTGTTTTATATACATATTATACATATTTATTGCTGTTAAACAGTGCAATGTTCTAAATATAAAAATCAAATACCTTGATTGTTTTAAAACTTTTTAACTTCATATAAATTTATTCTGTCCAAATCTTTCTAGTTGTAAATTAAATTTTACCATTATACAACATTATCGATTATTCACGGTTGTATAAAATGAATGTTCACATTTTAAGTGGAATGAAAAGAGATAGTTTGTAACATCTACTAGCATTCACATTAAGTACTTTGTGTATTATCTTGATTCTAAGATTAGTTTAAGTATTTAACTGATATGCTCATCTACATGTTTTTTAATTAGGGACACCACAATACAAATGTACATAGATATGTTATTTTCGAATCTAATTCATCATATTTGAATTTCACAAGTCTTGTTAGTTTCCATGTGAACATTCAGTTTGTGCAACACTATAATTCAGTTTTTGTACACAGTGTTTTTCGTGTCCGCTATACTTTATTTCCTGTTGTATACATATTCACCATGTTGTTTATATGATCCTGTATATATATGTAAGATGTTGATGTTGGTAAAGACTGATGTATTGCATTCCTCAGTGTATTACGACATTCCTCAGTGAGTGTATTTTGTGTTGGTATTGGCAATAAAAATGATGTATGCAAGTAAAACAGCCTTCAGAGTAAATGAAAATTTTGTATAATAATACTCAACTGACTGGAATAGGCTTTTCTATTTGCTTAAACAGAACAATTTGTTTCATAAATTATTTGTTATACAAGTAAAAAGATCAACAATCGTTTACGCTTGTTTTTGAAAAATTGTATTATGTTTTAATGGATTAAGCTGTTAGTAATTTTATCAATTTACTATTTTTATATTTTTAATAGTTTTATGAAATCAGTATTGACGCTTTAATGATTTCGTCTTCATAAGATTTCCATGTGTCCATTGCATGAATGTCAACTTGTTAAAAACAACCTTTTTAAGTTTGATAATATTTTTCATCCTTTTATCTTGAATTCCAAAGTGTCCCTGTCCCCTGGTCAATTAGGTAATTCTTCCTCTGTGCCAGAATGTTCAAAATGAATAGGTGAAAATATCTTCAATCATTAGTGAATTACTGAAATAGATTTACACTCAGGTAATTAACATTTTAGCAAAAACTATTGGATTGTCTTTCGTAATTTCTTATTTGGTCGTTATATAGTTGTGGTTTTCAGAGAAAAAGTTTCTTGCTAATTGTAAAATTATTCTAATTTATCGGAAAAACATGAATGATTTAACATTTTGCAATCGTACTAATTTAGCAAACTAATTGGTCACTATACAACCAATTTTGTCACATGCAATGTAAAAATTGTTGTAACTACTGTATTCTCTTCCAAGTCAACCAAGGTATTTTTAGAACATTACCATCCTTCAGTATCTTACAGAAACATCTGTCAGACACAACTTTATCACAAAACTAACCTCCCACTTTGATATTACAGGCAACCTGTTTTGTTGAACAGTTTTATTTTCAAGTGTCGATAACCTCTTTAGCAGTAAATGTGTCAAATGTGTATATATGAAATGTGTTGTTAATGCCATTGGAGCAATCTGCCTTGAGAACTTGTGTTTCTATCGTATCTCTGAGGGCTTCAATGTTGTTGAGATCCTCAGAAGTGGTCAGAGTTTCTGTGGTAAAACAGGAGAAAACCTTGTAATTATATTGTGCAGTTCTTGCTAAATTAGCTAGACACTTCATCCAAATGACAATTTCATTGGATACCTTTATTATTTAATTTAACATTGATACTTTAGTTCATTAAGTCTAAATTTAAATATTTTTATAACTTTTGTTACATAATGAGTTTGTGGTTTTGAGAATCAAAGTTGAATGGTTTAAGCACCCTTCCAACTATAGCAATATTTTTTTCACAACTTTTTGAGTACCAAGCTTACTATCTCAATAAACAGGTAAACTAAGGTGTTAAAACGACTGCTTGATGATAAGTAACGGAATAATTGGAATTCAAGGATTGTTAATTGAGTTTCCTACTTTCTTAAAAATTACCACAAGAACTGTAACAATAGATTACGAGTGTCTCATCTTGCTTTACCACTCTTGTAGGGCGTCCCAAGGTTCATTCCACCACATTCAGTGGTTCGGAAATGAACTTGACCATTGGCAAATAGAACTAAAACACTAACTGTAAATAGAACATTTATTTAAAATACAAAATTCTAAAGGTCAAAGATTTTATAACAATAAATCTAGAATGTTGTAACAAGGAATATTTACAATAAATTATTAGAATAAATATTGTTTTAAGTAAGGTTGCTAACTTATTTTTCCTACTCCAATACTAGGGATTTTTGTCTATAAGCGATCACATTTGTAAAGGTACATGTAAGTTGGGTGTTGATCCCTTCTATAGTAGGTATCCTACACTTTAGAGTTAACTAAAGTCAATTTGTAAATAACTAAATGTTTATGCCAGTTAATAATTAATTTTACGATCATTGTTTAAATATTTAGAATAATGTTTGGCAAATTCCACATACTAAACTGGTGGCGTTCTTGATTGCATTTTTCCAATCATCAAACAAAAGCATGTCACAGTAAATAAAAATTGTAAATTTTTTATCATTTGGTTATTGTTTATTGCTATTAAAAATTTTAAATTCAAAATGTGTGAATTTTAAAAGTAAGTTAATAAGATAAAAATAATGCACGAGTACAGTTAGGTACATAAGCATTTAAACTTAGAAAATTTACAACAAATATGCTTGAATTGCATTATGTCTTTGAAAAAAAGTCTTGAATAATCGCGTTGAAATTTATAGAAAAACTTCAAATTGCTTTTGAGTTTTAAACAATCATTTTGTATTACAGTATTTCCAAAGTATCGTACTTGACTTACTGATTTTTTTCTACAAAGAATATTAAAACCAAAATAAATTTAAATGGACACTTATCACTCCAATAATATTCCTTAAAATTATAAGGTTTAAAGAATAACAATGAATAATATTATTTACTTATTTTGTAAATCTTACAAAAAGGAAAATAGTTAAGAAATACAATGTGATACATTTTCAGCACTATGCTTATTTCAAAGTTAGCCATACTTAACTAAATATGATTTTATCACTTTTTCTTATTATATAAAAGTTTAAATACAATAGACTACATTAAATGCTTCTGAATTCCAGATTCAGCTTTTGTCAATAACAGCAAAATTTTCATAAAAAGTATATAGGCTACCTGCTCTTATTGCCTGGGCAATACTCACTGTTTAATATGATACATACAAAAATCACTAAACTCCTGCAGAAAGCTATACCACTACATCAACCATGATGGCACCTTTTCAGAATTTAGTACCGTAACAATAGCTAATGAAGGAAACAATGTGATTCAGGTTTTAGAAAATTTAATTGATAAACATTCATTTGTTATTTATTCTTTAGTGGTTTTCTTATGTCTTTACACATAAATATATATTGGTATTAATCTACATTCTGAAACCAACCTGGAGTTAATCTGGAGTCAGTGTATAGTAATCTGGAGTAAAGAACTAATAAAACCAATTTTTAATTCAAACATATCATGGTGGCTTTACACTTAACTTTTCTAAGTCAGATGTTTTTAATTCATATTCTTCTAAACCACCGCAATTCAATCATGATATATTGGTCGGCACATTGAGATGATACTAAGACTGCTCTACGGACAGAAAACAGTTTATTATCTTAAAAACAATATTTCTATTTCTATTTTTTATTACCCATCAGCCAGCTGATGGGAGTAATTGCAATGAATACAAACCCTTTAAAAAGCTAAATGCTTATGGAGAATAGTCAGACTGGAATTTTGCCACCGAAATGAGCTTCGCGCAGCCGCCGCTAGGATCGCTTGTGCGGCTGCCGCGCTACTCTATCTCTCTCTCTCTTTAAGCTGATTCTTTGTCTCACTCTCTCTTTCTGTCAGCTGACTTGGCTGTGTGCTCGTGATAGACTACCTAGCGGCTGCCACAGGAACTAACCGAATTTCAAATATTCCCAGACGGAATCTTTATCAAAGGCATAGCGCTTCTTATAGGTTTTGTATTCATTGGTAATTGTCACAAAAATTAGTCTTCTATACAGCATATGTCAAGCAAAGTCACTCAATTGCCAACAATTAAATTCCATACAATATTTATTGACAAGATAGCTTTGGCATGCTAACAAATCAACTTTCATCAATGTATCATAAGTGCTGATTTTTTATGTGCGTTTGTAGTATGAAACAACGGTAAGTATTGCTCTTGTAATTTCTTTCTGGTTTAGTTAATCATTCCTAATAAATTAGGCTATCGATGTTGATACAAATAAAATTGTAATGTTTCATTGCTTGAAGCTTTGGCAGGACTCTGAATTCAGGCTGAAATACTCTTGCACCCTATGGAGTTTTGTGAAACAACATCCTGCAATAGTCTCAAGTATTACCAATGGTTAAGCTACCAAAAAGCTATGTTGGCCAGGTAATAAATAACTTAAAATTTGAATCATTGATTATCAGTAATCAGTATTATTGACCCTTCAAATGAAATAAAAACAAGCGTTTCTCTGCTGAATTTAGATACGATTTTGTATACCACTGCTGAATACTTAATTACAAACCTACATTATAGTGAGTCACATATAGTAACTCAGTTGCCACTGGTTTGAAAATTGATGAATCTCAAACTGTAATTGCATAACACTTTAGGCTTTACTGGTCATCAAACACACACAAAAACCACCACTTACGTTAAAAATGAAATCTTTTGGTATCCTTAGTATATTCTTACAAACCTCAGCTTTATTTTCTTATAGCAATAGCATAAATCTCCATTTCCTGGGTGTCTACACCCAAGAATGTTTGGGATTAGAACATACTTTGCACAATAAAGCTTGGGCTACACTAGACAATAGAAGATACAGAAAGGAAACTGACTGGAAAGTTTCTGGTGAAGCTCTCTGAGTAATTAAATTGAAACTGTCACACTAGACAGGACATGACTTGCGACTGATCAATTAATGCCATGACACTCGTAGAGTTTTGTGTTAGGAGCATTCAATCAACATTTTTAAACTAAACTATTTCTTACCTTGTCTCCAGTTCAAATATAATGTTTGAATTTTCTACATACCTTTTGCCGAAAATGGCATTCTCAAGTGGTTAACAGAAACATTGTATCCAAACTGGACTCGATAAAGATGTACATTTTAAATACAAAAATAAGTACATCGTGACACGATAGGAGAGGAAAAAGACCCTTGAGTTAGATGCAATTCATACTCTGTTGTGTATTGTTTGTCACCCATACTCCCAAAATAAATTTTTTCCTGGTATTTTCCATTCTGTGTCCCATCTAGTGTAGCACTAGCCCCAGAATTTGCCCTCTGTGTTCCATCCGTTTCCAGTCAGATCCTTTTCGTATCTAGTGCAGCTGAACCTTTAATCTCCATTCCCTGGGTATCTTCACCCAAGAATGTGTGGGATGAGAATAACACTCTGCACAGTCAGATCCAGATGGCAGGAACTGGACATCTTCACCAGCAGAGTTGGATGCACATCCTCGTACAGATCAGCGTAGAGAGACAAGAATGACGCTTCTCTCTAACAGCCATGTATGTCGTGAAGAGTGTTGAAGTGTAAGGTGTCACCACATCACAGAGGCACTTGGGGAAGGCTGTCCGGAGGATGGTAACTGCTGAGGATCACCTTGTGTTTGAGTGCCTCCTCGTAGGATGGAGGTCCTAGAGGCAGCAGTAGACAGGGAGGGTACAGTGGACTGGTCCTTGCATCTACCACTAGACAAAACATGGATATTTTACTCGACAGCCTTAGTATACTTAAAAGTGTAAGTGCAATAATTAACAAATAACTATAATATAGTTTTTTTCCACTAGAAAATAGGTGTTGGCTAGCCTAGTGGTTAATGTCTCAGACTTTGGTGCTAGAGGGATAAGATTGATCTTCGGCATACCAAAATCATTTGAGGGATTTAGACTGCTTTCCCTTAGATAAGCTTTAGAGTTTTAACACAAAATTTGTTAAACAAAAATAAATCATATAGAACAACATGAATACTGTGCTATTTGATGTTTCAGTGTTCACTTTATCTTCACACCATGAGGGTCCCACAAAATCCACTCGACAAGTTGCACAAAGAAATTAAAATACAAACTCAGTTATTAGTGCCATTTATTGACCTGCTAGGAAATGGAAGCACAGCTAATTATGATTATTTGTCAAAGGCTTAGTTCGTACTATGTTCAAAACTTTTTCATTTAAAATACATCCTGTAAGTTACCTTTGTTCTTTTCATACAAAAATAAAATGAAAGAAAAAACAGTTTTAAATTCGTATGTACGGCGATAATAAAAGATTTAAACATATTACCGTAAACCCATTGACTCACCTCTGTATGATGCGACCCAGGTAGTGGGAGGGACGGTTGCCTCGATGTCACTTCCTCGGAATATTGGTCTCTGCCTCATCCTCCACATTCTCCATCTAAACAAAATGCAGTCAAAAACTACAAGTTAGAAAATAAAATGACATAATTGACATTATAAATTTAGACTTAAAACCTTCAGTACAAACTCTCATACTCTGTGTTGGGTTTCCCAGTCCTCTTGTCTATCGGCCACATTAAATATTTGTGGCAGCTTTCACTGTAAAGTCCTTCTCTTGAACTACACAAATGCAAATCTATTCACAAAACCATCTGTAGTTATACTGTGTACACTGTACAATACTGTCATGATTCAAATCAGTCATAACCTTTCAGACGTTGCATCATAGAAATAATCTGTATGATTGTTTTGTTTGACTTAATAAAAGTGTTTTTGTGTATGTCGGCTGTAAGAAGGACTGAGTACTATACCTCACAATCATCTTACTTCTCTTCAAAGGATGATTTTTAACCATCCCTATACTTAACCCTTCCCGGACGGGTGACGGATATATCCGCCTAAGTCTTTGGCGATAAAGGACGGGTGGCGGATATATCCGCTTATGGTTTTTGATGTTGCGGATGGGAAGCGGATATATCCGCCTTCTCTTCAGACAGACTGGCAGGTGCTTGAGCAGTAACCAGATGTTTCGCGGTACCAAGGCGCCACTTTCCTGCTCTCTCCATGGCTGCACTCTTTCCCGCACTCCCCCCTCTCTCCCGCTCCTACCCCTCTCCCACGTCACCCACTCTCCGGCGCACCCACAACCTCTCCTACGCTCCCCCCTCGACGTTTCGCGCTGAACACTAAGTTGTCTTTATTTATTGTTTACATATTGTTCTTTATTTATTGCCTAACGTTGTCATGTTTATATCTTCAAAGACGGGTTGCGGATATATCTGCTGCTTTTTTACTCGTCCGCGGACGGGTAGCGGATATATCCGCATAGTTAAAAACGAGTAGAAAATTATTTTGACAGTATGAAGTGTTCCATTGTGTTTATTTAATGTATAGGCCTACTTGTAAAACAATACACAAATAAGGAAAATTAATTTTCATTTTTTCCTATAATTTTTTCCCGTTTTATGTCCCGATTTCACCCGTCCGGGAAGGGTTAATATTCTTTTGGTTTTAGTTAGTTTTGTTTGAGGCTGGAGGTAGCTTCCATGTTCCATGTGCGCGCTCTATTAAGTCACACGTTAGCCCAAAGGTCAATGATCAAATTGATGCAAATAAATCATCTGTTTTCTTTTTTGTTAAATAAAATATTTAGTAGTTTGTGGTTTACTTTGTGCTTGTGGTTGCCAGGTTTTTGTATTATGTGTGATATGAGGCCTGATGTACATTTTGCTCATGTATTGCATTATCAGGAGCATCAGAGGTGTTTAGAATGTAAAGAAGAGATGTAAATAAATAAATACATAACTTTGCTCCTGATGAAGCCACACATGTGACAAAATGTACTTCGGACTTCTTATCACACATACATTTTGTAAAATGGCAACCATAAGGTAAATCTTATGGAGAACTAGCTGATGTACCCGTGTTTCGTAACGGGAAGATGTACTATACTGCCTAATCCAAACACTTGTTAAGAAGATCAAATTTATATAAACAAAACGCCACCAAATTTTTACAAAAAAGTGTGACTTACATTGTAATTGTCCTGCTGATGTTACACCCAAACACAAACTAACACACTGATGTTTTATTGGGTTTAGCAGTAATGACTGTTTACGTTGAAATGTCAACGCAAAGGTAAACAAAGTTTGTGAATTTTCTCATGCTTCCATGGAGACTAATTAATATTTACTTTTGAAAACCTTACCTTGAAACTTTGGACATCCAAGGGGCGTAGCCCGAGAGGAACTCAGGGAAGTGAATAGTCCTATGACATACCTACCCAGATAGCATGCACGCTTTCTGTAAACATGCGTTTGGTGTGTTTTTCGTTCGTTATTGAAAGTATGCATTGGAAGTTTGGCGAAAACTTGTTTTTGCTTCCCGTGAAAGTCATCTGAAGCTTATTTGCTGTAAGTTTGCGGTAACGTTGCCTGTTGCCGCCTAGCGCTACGACCAGTTGCGGGATAAAAGTGAAACGCTTCAAGTAGTTCACGATGGCTCCGCACCTGTTCGTGTAGCGCTATGCGGCAACAGGCATCGTTTCGGCAAACCTGTGGCAAATATACTCCAGAAGACTTTCACGGGAAACAAAAAACGTGTTTACGCCAAACTTCCAATGCATATTTTCAATAACGAACGAAAAACCCACCAAATGCATGGATGCCGACGGGGATTTTTCTTTTATTTAACGGCTGCCTTTTGTGGAGAGACTAACCATCATTACTGACATTCGACTTTATTAGGCGCAGGATAGGAACAACTTTGGATATACTCATCGTTAAATGATTGTTTTATTTTAGAAGTGAAAACATTGTAAAAAAAATAAAATAAACAAATTCTGAATCGTGTTTTGTATTTGGATCTTTACTATTTTACTTTCAAATGTATTGAACAAATAGTAAGACAATAGTATTATATATACACTCCAATTAAATTAACTGTAGTTAATTTATATAATAAGTTATGGGACGTATTTTTTTAGGTTCGCCACTGAAAAGTGAAGGAAAAATTAGCGCTGCTTTTTTCAATAACTCTCTTAATTATTCCTTACAAGTAAATTGAATACCTATCCACTATTATTGTTACAAAGACTTTTTCAAACTTGGAAGGGTTTCGTGGTTAGCAGAGCACGAACGATTAATTTCTCGGATTCACAGAATCTGGGAGAAACCCCTTTCCTGCCAAGGCTCCTAACGTCATTCTAAGAATGGACTGTGTATTGAGGTCACAGAGGGAACAATGCGCGCCCGTCCTTGTAGTACGGGAAGTAGGCAACCCACCCCAAAATCGCCAATAATAGGGCCCACTTTCCTTATTCGTAACGTAACTATGGTTATAACAAAATATATTTAATTTGTGTTATCATTTCGATGTGACCCGTTGCCCTTGCAACGTTTTTTTTTTACTTATTTAAATAATTAAGATATGGTTCAAAATTTAGAAACTGTTTTCCCATAAATTTTCATCAGTATACCTGCTAATTTTTAGAAGCTAATGGTAGAATAATACTGTAGTGGTTTTTAATAATTCTGTAGGCTCATATCCGTGAGTTAATTTTTATAGGAATGATTGCATAATGCATTGAGGTAAAATATAACTGGTTTTAACTTTTAGCAAATTGAAAACAACCTTTTCTTTCTATTCTGTATAGGCCCTACTCCTGCGAAAACAGACGTGTTCGATAATTGAAACCATTACAATCAGCGAAAAAAATTCAAATGTTATATTGTGCTCGTTGATTACAATACGGTACCGATAGCCCTGCTCGGTTGTGGTTAATTGCGTCTAATCGACATTATAAAAGACATTCTCGTGAATGTCAAGTAAAGACTTGAATGTTAGTTGTATTTTATAATTTATGAACAAACATTTTTACTACAAACCATAGAAATTTGATCCCTGAAATAATAAGAACTCTGTAATGTAAAGTATGCAATTAAAGAAAAATAAGATACACTTTTATATGATTTTGCTCATAACTTTAAACTCAGAATTATTTGTAAACATCGACAGCAGATAATTTTGTAACATACTGTACAAACGAAACCACATTAGTTTCGAAACGGCTCGTGACAACGATTTTTCGCTTTTGCGCCACTATATAATATGTTACAACGATATGGTCAAATCTATTTCTGCCCTTGTAATTTTCCGAACTTAAACTTCATAAGTCAAGTGCTGACAGTTTAAGTAACCAATTTAGTTTTTTTTCACACAATTTGGTTTTTTTACTCAATTTTAAATCAACAATTTAGTGTTGTTTAGATGATCAAAGATCTAATAAAAATATCGATTGCCGTTATTTCATATTTGAACAATCGTTGACTAAACTTAAGGTGTTGGTCTACCTTTAGTGGCCTATTTTTACTGTGAATCCCTGCCAACGAGGTTCACGCATGCCTAAAAGCATCTTATGGTACTACGGTTAAAAGTAACTCTTTTAACGAGCATGCGTACATTTTGCCCGAAAGAAACGGTTGCAGAAACATTCTCTAAACTAAACAGCCTTTGGACATTGGGAGTGGCAAAACTGAAATTGACCAAACCACAAAAGATTTTTTATTTTTCATACTTATGTAAACTACAACCAAATATTCAATCTGGGAAAATGTACAGTATTCCCAGACTTGTCAACCAATTTCAAAGATCCAGAGTGGCTTTGCGACCGTGCAATTTTGGTCTCTAAAAATGAATATGTTAACGAGCTAAATCAACAAATTTAATTTAAATTGCCAGGAGAGTTTTTGTATAATATAGATCAATATACACAGCAGCCACACGTATTTTCATTAAAAGAAGGAACTCCAATTATACTAGCGAAACTTAAATCCACCCAAGCTGTGCACGGAACCAGACTGATGGATAAAATTACACCAAACTTGATCGAAGCAACAATCATCAGTTCAAAGGTGAAATTTTCTTAATTCCAAGAATGCTGACAATTTAATCCAAATTACCCGTTGAATTTAAGCGACTAAAAATTTTTCTCGGTGTTTTGCTTGCGCAATCACAATTAATAAGGCACTAATGGTATTACCTCCGGTTTTAATTTCGAAAATGAATGATTTTCACTTGGCAAGCTGTATGTTGCGTGCTCACGTGTTGGGACGCCTAAAACTTATATTCTGTGTTAGAAATCGAATAAAAAAAAAAAAAATTACCCACTAGCATTAAAGTAAAACAAAATATTCTGCAACTCCAAGAAAACTAGAGTGTACCGCTACCAATAATGATTCTAATGTTTAATTGTATTCTCAGGAATGGGAGTCTTTAGCCATCAACTAGTTTCAGCCTGCCTCTCTGATTTTGTATATAGAATAACGGACAATCAAAATTCCAATTTTGTGTGATTTTCGTCCCGTTTTCTACCTATGTTTACTAAAAAGCAATACATCACCCCTCCAATTGCCCCAGCATATCTTAGAATACTATTCA